TGACAATGTTTATATTTAATTGACTTAAAATTCAGTTTTTTCAAAAATTCTGAAAGTACCGGCACTCCTTCGTTTATAAATTTCCAAATTATACAACATAAAAACTATCGCAAGCGCCAATTCTTTGATAACTTTCCTCTCAGCATGTTCAGGAAAAATATCGTAAGCGCCATTTTACCTTTAGAAAATAAGGTATGCAAAAAATAAATAGTCCCATTAGAAAGTTATCATTCAATAAGGAGAATCGAAAAAACCTCTCCTGTAAAATTTACCTTTTGTCGCTTACGATAAAATCATAATCAAAGGCCAATTTGTCCTAATGTATGCATAAAACTTCACATTTTAGGCAGCCGTACACAATGGATGCATATACGTTTTAGGAGGGACTTCCGAAAATAAGACAGTCGAGCGTTATGACCCTCAAAGTGACAAATGGACAAAGGTTGGTTGAAATAGTTACACCAAAAATTTAAAAACACCAAAATACAATTTTTTATTACTTCTCATAGATGTGCTCTTTGAACGTTGGACGTGGTGGCATGGGTTGTGTTTTTGTAGGTGATCAACTGTGGGCTGTCGGAAGCTGGAACTCAAAGTCCGTGTCAGTTTATAATGCCGAATGTGATGAATGGGTCGAAAAGAAACCAATACCTGAATCAGGTGGATACATGTGTTATGTTGTGCATAAAACTTTACTTGAATGTGAATAAGAGATAAGAAAATTTACAAAGTACTTAGTTGAAGACTTACTAGAGATCAATGTATTTATTTTGCTAACGCAACTTTTAATTTTCACCTTATCTTGAACATGAATTTTAGTTTAATGGTTTCTATTACTTTAAAATATGTTTGTTTGTAAAATGCGTTTTTTAAATATCTAGTAAATATATCCAACAAAGTAGAAGTGATTTTGATAGTTCTCCCTTTTGAACTGCGACGGGAATATCAAATAAATAATAGATATTCGAAATCGTATTGAAGGAATTTTTTTAATCTATTTAACATTACATATCGATGGCTGAGTGGAAGATCGACTTATCTCGGCAGCCACTTCGAAGACGGACTATCTCAGAAAACTTTTCCAGAATGCCCTACCTCAGAATTTGATTGAGAACGCCCTATTTCAGAATTTTATTGGAAAACACCCCATCTGTGAATTTGGTGGAAGAACGCCCTATCTCAGAATTCAGTTCAAAAACGCCCTATCTCAAACGAAAATATATTAGGGTTATTCTCGGAGTCTTGCACGTAGCACGGAATATATCAAATGCAAAAATACTATTCCAAATTTGTAAGAGTACGAGAGCCCCTCATCGCAAAATAGTAGCATGCATTGGTAGAGAACAGCGAAGTTCTGTATCAAATACAATACCAAGATACAGCAAAAAAAAATGAAGTGAGCGAAATTAAAGGAATGAGAGAAATATGTAGCAATTCCAACAACAAAACAACTAGCAAAGAGTCGTATTTATCTTGCTATGCTTTTTTGCAAAATATATACATACATGGGCTTCGACGTTGCATATTTTGCAGCGATAGGAAATGATGTTTCCCATGTATTTTGTTGTTGTGTATTTGCAAGTTGTATTTACAAGATTTCGATACTCCTATTGAAAATGTGCTGAGATAGGGCGTTTTTGAACCGAATTCTGAGATAGTGTCTTTTTCAATCAAATTTTAAAATAGGGCGCTCTTCAACCAAATTCAGAAATAGGGCGTTGTTGAAAAATTTTCTGAGATAGGGAGTTTTCGAACTGGCTGCCGAGATAGGTCGATCTTCCACACGGCCATCGATATAGTCGGCTACAAAGAGAGCTAAATTTGATCGTCACTTCAAAATTGTTGAATATGCCTTGGTTTTTAAGCAACAGCTTAGAATGGTA